CAAGTCTGATTAGAACAAACACGGTTAACTCACGATGAGCATCAGAGACTGGAGATACTCACACATGCTGACACACTGCTGCGGTTAAACCAGTCATCTCAGCATAATAGATGCCCTTTAAGATCAATAAACACACACACACACACACACACACACACACACACACACACACACACACACACCTAAAATAACACTGAAGCCTGCAGGAATGCTTCTAACACTGAGAATATAAATTAATAATGAAGAATTTGTTGAATGGAGACATGTGTAGGTGTGTACTGTACAGCTCAGGCTGGCTTTCTGTTTTAATTTAGACTCTTAATGTGTGTGTGTGTGTGTGTGTGTGTGTATTTAGTATGCTCAAACATCAGTGTAAAGCGCTTTAGTCGGCCCACACTGCCTCCAGCGTCATCTATTCTGTCTTCTCAGTATTTTATATGGCCGAGTTCTGTGGAAATGTCTTGGGATGCTGGTCTTTCTCTCTCTCTCTCTCGGTGTGTGTGTGTGTTTTCTCCCACACACACACTCCTACTGTCACTCCACGGCTGTCATATGCTCAGACTGCCCACCTCCTCATTCAGGCCCAAAATACAAGCGCTCGCTCGCTCGCAACACAACCAACGTCTTCACTATTGATACCCTGCAGATCCCTCAGCGCAGAGGTCAGAGGTCAAACTACCGCTCAGGTGTCGGATTTCTCTGGATGTTCACAGGCCCTTCACTTATTTCCACTGCTCAGCTGCTCTTTTAGTGAAAAGGTTTGTTTAGATTGTTCTTGAATTATGGTGTCTGTCGTTGACTGTGGAATCTGGAGATGAACATCATTATAATGCCAGATTAAACTGATTACATTTAAAATGAACTGATGAGGTCAAATGTTGAGGATTAACTCATTATTTGAAGACTAAGGTCGAGTTTAGAGAAATTAAGTGTTTCATTTTGAAAGAAAAAAGCTGGTTCAATTCCCAGTTGGGTCAGTTGGCAGTTTCAGTGTGGAGTTTGCATGTTCTCCCGTGTTGGCGTGGGTTGGCGGATGCTCCGGTTTCCCCCACAGTCCAAACACATGCACTATAGGGGAATTGACTAACTAAATTGGCCGTAGTGTATGAGCGTGTGTGTGAATGTTTCTCAGTGTTGGGTTGCAGATGGAAGGGCATCCACTGCATAATAACATATGGTGGAAAAGTTGGCGGTTCATTCCGCTGTGGTGACCCCTGATTAATAAAGGGACTAAGCTAAAAATGAATGAATGAATGGCTGTATTGTATGAGCATTTATGAGTGTTTCCCAGTACTGGGTTGCAGCTGGAAGGGCATTTGCTGTGTAAAACATATGCTGGATAAGTTGACGGTTCATTCCGCTTTGAACACCGCTGATGAATAAAGAGACTGAGCCAAAGGAAAATAAATGAATGCATGAATTTCGGGAGAAAAATGTAACCTGGCTGACTATGGATTGACTATTGGATTAGCATTAAGGAATAATACAAAATAAAACCGTCTTCAGATTAAAGTTGTTATAATGCGAGATTACATTTGTACAAATTTAAAACAAATTACAAAAGAAAAAAAATCCAAACAAAAATGGAAAACAAAACCAATGTGTTCAAAAAGATGTGGATGATTGTTGAGGAAAAAAAATGTAGTTTTTGAGAAAAAACTTTTGGGAATAAATTGGCTGTTTTGAGAAAAAGTCATTAATTTTAGAGAAAAAAAAGTTTAAATAAAATATCGTGAGACTTTAAAAATCATTAATTTTGAAAAAGAAATATCAAAATAAAAGGTAGAGAGTGAACTTGTTAAATTTCGAGAATAAATTTGACGTCTTTCAAGAAAAAAAGTTACATTTAAATAAAATGTTGAGAATGATCTCGTTAAATCAAGAGAATAAAGTCATTATGTTTTTAAAAAGAAGTAGTCAAAATGAAATAAACTTCAGTAAAATGAAAAACCTTATTGATCTTCCAGAATAAAGGTATGCGTGCAGAAAGAAAATTGCTATTAAAAATGCTGTGAGGTGCTGTCCATAGTAGTGGTGCTGAAATGGTGGATGTAGCAGCAAGAAACTGCTCAATAACTGTTTACAATGAAAGTGCTTCATCTGACGGCCGCTAAACTTCCATTCAAAATCAGGCATGTACAATGGCTTTGCCATCCCATATTAAAATACTATTGTAATTTATAATTAATACAATACTGTTTTTAACCACTATAGTAAACAACTTTAATCTTTAATTTTAATTAATGGTAACACAACTACTATAGTTTATCAATCTGTTGATGTGATTCTCCAGTTGCTATGTTAACACCAACAGCACAACAGATCAATCACTGTAGTTGTTGTTCTACAGTTGCTATGGTAACACAACAACTACAGTAATTCATCTGTTGTGGTGATTCTACAGTTGCTATGGTAACACAACAACTACAGTAATTAATTTGTTGTGGTGATTCTACAGTTGCTATGGTAACAGAACAACTACATTAATTAATCTGTTGTGGTGATTCTACAGTTGCTATGGTAACACAACAACTACAGTAATTAATTGGTTGTGGTGATTCTACAGTTGCTATGGTAACACAACAACTACATTAATTAATCTGTTGTGGTGATTCTACAGTTGCTATGGTAACACAACAACTACAGTAATTAATCTGTTGTGGTGATTCTACAGTTGCTATGGTAACACAACAACTAAAGTAATATAAATTACAGTAATATAAATTATGCAATACGCCACAGTTTACTGTAGTAAAACTAAAGTATACCACAGTAATTATTACAGTTTATCAGCTCACTATAGTTAATAGTTTGCTGGAGTTTTCATTAACAGAGTTGTAAATAGTCTTCAATATATCCTTGGACTTTAATATATAAAGTTTATTACATTATTTGGACGACTTCTTCAGTCAGTGAGTAGTTTTCAGGGAAATGTGAATATTCTGCTTTTCTCCATCGGGAGAATTTCTCCAGATGTTATATTTATATATAAAATTCAAGTCTATGTGTTGCACGGCAAATCAATATACTCATTATTGTGACAGGCCTATTCTACATTTAAATAAAATAAATTTAAATAAACACAGTGTGGTGTGGATCTATATTTAATGAATAGCTCAGCCAAAAATGAAATTTCTGTAATCATTTACTCATCCTTTTCAAGAATACAACAATACAAAAGAAGATAACCCGAAACCACTCACTTCAATATCGTTAGCATTTCCTATGGAAGTCAATGGTTACAGGTTTCCAACATTCTTCAAAACAGAATTAAACAGATTAAACCACTTGAGGGTGAATAAATAGTTTAATTTTGGGGTGAACCATTTGTCCATTTAAGCAGTACCACCAGATTTGTTGAGTATCTTTCCGTTCAGAGAGTTATGAACATTTGGAGACAGAAGAGAACATTTGGGTTTAGATGCTAAAATACTTTGACAAGAGGATGAGAGAGAGAGAGACGCCTCTACTAAAAAAAAGCTGAAAATCTGTGACACTGAAGAAGATGAAAATGATGAAGTCTGCCATCCCAGAGAAAGAGGAATAAGATTTATAGACATTTCACTCAGAACTCTCATCGATATCCATCATTAGCGCTAAACGCAAGATTTCAGTCTTATGCTCGCACATCCATCACGTCTGGGCTAATTTGTAGTGAATTTCTCTTGCCATCAGTGTGAAGTGAGTATAATCGCAGTGACAGGCTCGCATCTCTCTCTCTCTCGTCCTCCTCCTCCTCCGTTATCCGCCGGTCACCCACACGAGCGCGAGCCCGACAGCAAGAGCGCGCGCACGGAGATTACCGCGCGACTGAAGTCAAACCGGAGACAGCGGAGAGATTAATCTGCGAAAACTGCAAGAAAAGGTGATTTATGAGAACACGGCGCCGGTAAAAACGTGCTGAAGATGGCCGTCATCGGAGAATAAAACAAGAAGAAAGACACGAGGAGCAAACAGAGCTCGAGTGACCGCCAAAAAAAGACAAGAGTTACTGGAAAACCTTCACAGCGCTGATATTTAGCCTACTTTTATAAGGTGAGTGATTAAATGTGTATTTTGTGTGTGTGTGTGGTGTGTTATGTCACCCAACACAGATGTTTTGAACAGCTTCAAAAGTTTTTTCCTTCACCTTTACAAAATATAGTTGGGAGACCCATTTAAAATTCTACATTTATTCGACATGTAAAACCTTGAGAATAAAAAATAATAATAAAAGTAATCTAATACTAATACTAATTAATATTAATACTATACTATATTTTCACATTTGAAGTTGTATATGACATGAAGAACGCTGCTTTTCTGACAGGTTTTAAGCTCTTTAGTCTATTTTCACTTTTATTTATTTATTTTTCTATTTTTTTAATTGTTTGTTATTTAAACAAACAGCCTATTTTTCACATTTCAAGGAGCTAATACTGTCATTAATTACTATACTCTGTTAAAATAGTTGGGTTAAAAATATACCCCAACTTACAACCCAGGTTATTATAGCACCTTCCCAACTTATTTTAACCCAATGCCTTGGGTTATATAATTTAACCCAGTGCATTGGGTTATTTTGATTAAATGTTATTTTTTCCGAACTGGTATTACTAATGCTACTATTACTAATACTTATAATTTCATAATTATAGCTGGGTAAATAAACAACATACGGTTTACAAAAAAAAAAAATCATTATTTCCATTTCATTTTAGTTCCAGACTTTTTTTTTTTTTAATAAATCAAGAATCACAAACAATGAAGAACAGAGTGCAGACAGTGATAAACTGAGCAGGCAGAAAATCCTGAGCAGAACATGGAGCTCTGTGTGCTGTAGAGGCTGTCCAGCAGGCTTCACTCGCTGTCCACAGTCCAAACGCTTCTAAAAGATGGTCTTGGATGGTGAAACGGATATAAAAACCACAACACAGAGAGGTAATTTGATCAAAAATAACAACAAAATTATTGTGTTATAACTAAAATAAACTTTAGAACGCAAAAACAACATTGCACACGCATATTAATACCGTTATTTTGTGTCAGTTAAATCAGTTGACTGTTGAAATTCAAATTTTTAACTCAACTGGTTGAGTTATTAATAAATAACCAAATAAAAGTTAAAAATAACCCAACAAGGCACAAAATATTTAACTCAACTGGTTGAGTTATTAATAAATAACCTAATAAAGGTTAAAATAACCCAACAAGGCACCAAATATTTAACTCAACTCGTTGAGTTATTAATAAATCACCTAATAAAGGTTAAAAACTAACCCAACAAAGCACCATATATGTTTAACTCAAGCATTGGGTTAAATAAATAACTCAATGTTTTTTAGAGTGTTTGTAAGAAAACAAGGTTCATTTTTAAGAAGTCATGTTTTAATAGCTGCAAATTTACCTCAGAAAAATAGCATTCTTGATTTAGCAAACATGTGTTTACATTATTATTAAATATGCTAATCATATTATAATATTATGACTCTGATATCGAGCAGGCGTTTAAAGGGCTGGGTACAGAAACACTCATGGATGGACAGATGAGGGGAGGATGAATGCGGCTGAAGCAGAGAAAAGAAACTTGCAGTTGTAATAATAATGAAAAGAGATTACTCTCCATCTGAGATCATGCACTTGATCGCGCGCCGCATCTGGAGCTTTACCGGATTTACCGCGTGCGCTTTAACATAGCCTACCTGCGCGTCACGCTTTATGTCACAGTCTCAATCCCGCAGATCTGAGCCGAACATCTGCTGCACGACGACCGTCTCCCGCTGGAGAGTTATTAAAAGTTTTCTGATGAGATTTCCACATTGTTTACTGTGAGGAAAATCTGAAGAATGACCGTTTGAACTGCGAGCGCGCGAAACTGCCGCTCGTCCTCCTCAGTGCGCATGCGCGCCAGTCAGCCAGTTTCCAGTGGAAAGCGCTGATTGTCCCGGAGAATCTGATTCCCCTGATCAATATGAGCTTAATGCACTTAATGCACTCACAAACAGTTTCCACGCTTACAGACATCCACCATGATTTTACTGTGGTCATAGTTTGAATACAAACCATGGTATTTACATGAAAAATGTGGTGTTTGTGATTATTCAGTAGGCAGGCTACCATAAAAATCAATGCAACTCAGTATAGTCACGATATTTTCAGTATTATAAAGGCATTTCAAGTTTATTTAAATGTAATAATTATGGTTTATATTGTTTAAACTGGACGTGAAACCTTTATAAGCAAAATACGCAACTCTACAACTGTTTAAGACTTTTAAGAGCGCTCTAATTAAGCTATAATGAAGATTTTATTTTTGTATTTTCTCTGAACATCCAAATATTTAATGTTTTTGAAATACTTTATAGACTATTATTTGGTACAGGAAACTTCCCATTCACAATTTAACGATACTTTACGGTAATGTTTATTCTGAATGTTCTCTGAAGGTTGTGAAACAACATTTAAAACATTTTAGAAATCTACTAAAATCATCAGTGACTGGTTCACCGATTAACCAACAAACATTATTAGATTTTTGATGGAATATCCAGCCTGATCTCATGAGGAAACGTAAGTATTTTACGTTTTGACAGTTTAGTGACTAATTCGTATGGATTCGTCATACGAAAATGTACTATTTTAAAAAAAGAGACGTGGCACCCAACCCCACCCCTAACCCCAAGTGTCATTGGGTGATGAGCAAATCGTACTATATTGTACGAATTACATCACACGAATTAGCCACTAAATCAAAAAGTTATGAATTGCTGTGAGATTTTGTTGAAATATCAGCCAAAGTTTTGACAAATATTGTTACATTAAAGGTGCGATTATTTGAAAAATAGCCTAATTTGGAGCCTGGTGTCCAAAAACGCACATCAGCCAATCAGCAGTAATGGGCGTGTCTAGCGGAGATAACAAAAGGGGCGGTGCTTGATGGGTTATGGGCGTGCTTGGTTTGTTTTGTGCAGTTTTAAACGAGCCTCATTCATCTGGTATTTTATAATGTTCGTAACACGTGCAAACATTTTAAAAGCATCATACATTGCCAGTGGAAAGTTTTATTTCTTATATAATTATTCTTTATTTAATCGTGATATATTAGACTATTTAAAAGTAACATTCACCAAATATTGCTCCTATAATGTTTGCAAAATTATTAAAAGTAAAGCTCCTTTAAATTGTTGCTGAATGTTTGGAGAACATTCAGAATTGTTTTTTTTTAATTTACATAAAAAGGAGATTGTTTAGCTAACATTCCCATTAATTTAAGCAGGTTAAAGAAAATTGTGTATTTGACAGTAAAAATCCACTAAACATCAGATTATTGAAAGTCATTACGTGGAAACTGAAATTAATGAAGAGAAAATGTCACTTTGATCTGATGAACTTTGCCAGAAATGTAAAATTGGCAAACAGGATACACCCAAAATCAATGATAAATCAATAAATAATGATTGTCAATAAAATTGCATTAAATAATAAAAAAATTGTAACAACTGAAGCAGTGATTACATCAAG